TGGGGAAATGGTGCCGAGTCTTAAGTGAGAGATGAACCTTTCCCCTCCCTTAACACTTACTTATATTAACTCCACAGCACATACATGGTCCACAGCTGCAAAATAAGATATATTTCCCTATGTCAGCCGAGATGCCTAGCTTGTGCCTGCCCCAATCACAGCCTCCATTCCACGTGCCTCCTTTCCACACTACCGTTATATTGTATTCCAACTCTCAATTCCAATAACCATCACAACACATCATATTCCCAATCACATTTCCCCCCCCCCCCCCCCCCCCCCGTGCCTCCCCCCCCCGCCCCCCCCCCCCCCCGGTGTGGCCACGCCCCACCCCCCCCCACCCCCCCCCCCCCCCCCCGCCCGCCCCCCCCCCCACTGCCGGCCCCCCCCCCCCCCACCACCCCCCGTCGTTAATCCATTTTAGTAGATTGGTTGTCCATAAGTCAAAACAAAAGCAGAATAATTTAATTGAAAGAGGTGACTGCTTGGTGTGTTACTTTGCTGGTCTTTCATAGTTTTTTGGCGGGAATTTCGAGGGGGTTACTAACTAAACACAAACATGTAAAACAAAACATAGACACATACAAAACACTTTTACAGCAAAATAAGGATGAGAAAAGATGATTACTCAAACACACACACATAAGAAAAATTAAACCAAAACCAATGCTCCCTTCACACCCCATTCCTCCCTCTGCTAAATTAAATATTAGAAGAGATATAACAATATTGACACATACAGTATACAGAAACATTAGTGACATAAAACAAGAGTTTTAAGGAACCTACATAAATCAAACTTAAATAACAAAAGCCATAATGGAATTATGGAGTGGGGGAGTTTATTCCAGTCTGATGGAGCCTTGTAATGAACGATCTGTGTACTAACTCCTTTAAAAACTCTTGGAACAGAAAAGTGAGACAATCAGAGCTTCGACGTGAAAACGGTGTGGTAGACAGGGACAAAAAACAGTTTAAATACTGCCGGACAACTCCCAAATAAAACATTTAAATAATGAGACATCCAGTGAAGGTGACGTCTATTGTCGCCGGTTGAAGCCAGAGAAGGTTCCTAGTACAGATGCGAGTGAGGTGTTCGATAGGACATTTGAGAAGATCTGCAGAGGCAGTTAAAAAGTGTATTGAGGGATTGAGATGGGAGGGAAATGTGTTTTGGATAATGACGGGTCAGCGTATCGATGATGGGGAGAACAGAGTATGTGTAATTATGCGGTCTTTTCTGACAATTGGGTCTCAAAACAGTGAGAGATCGGGATAGTGAAGTGGTTGCCAGTTCATTTAGATGGATACTGGATTTGGGTTTTGGCCATTCTTGCAGTTTTATGATCTGACGCCTGTGAACTCAGGAAGAAAAGTCCCATAGTAGTTTTGCATGACTAAAGGGACATCCTTGAAAATAAATCAATAATGGTGATATTCAGAGAAATGGTGGCAACTATTCATCATTGTAGTTGAGATGATATTTACTTTTCATTCATCAAATAAGCTAATCATATCACCGTGCCTTGCGAAAACGTATTTGACCCTTCAATATTTTGCCACATTCATGCTTCAACATAAAAGATATCAAATTTAAATTTTTTGTCATGAATCAACAACAAGTGGGACACAATCGCAAGTGGAACGCAAAGTAATTGGATAATTTAAATTTTTTAACAATAAAAGCTGAAAAGTGGGGCGTGCAATATTATACGGGCCCCTTTACTTTCAGGGCAGCAAACTCACTCCAGGTAGTTCCAGGGAGGATCTTTGATTGATCCAATGTTGACCTAAATGACTGATGATGATAAATAGAACTGCACTGTGTGTAATTCCTAGTTCCGTATAATGCACCTGCCTCTTTGTAGTCTCCGGGTTTGTTAAAGCGCAGAGAGAACCATGAATACAAAAAGAACACACCCAGGCAGGGGTTCACGAGATCTGTTGTGGAGAGTTTAAAGCTGGATTTGGATACGAAAAGATATCCCAAGCTTTAAACACACTCACGGTGCACTGTGCAAGCAATTATATTGAAATGGAACGCGTATCAGACATCTGCAATCTACCAAGACCCGGCCGTCCCTCCCAAACTTTATCTCTCAAACAAGGAGAAGAATGTCAGAGATGCACGCCCAGAGGCTATGATCACTCTGGATGAACTGCAGATAACTACGATGCGGTGGGGATGGTGTGTTTCCAGGGTGATGAGCTGTGTTGCTTTTACGCCAACACATTTTCGTTTAGCATTGCGGCCAAAAAGTTATGTGAGGCGCTTTGAGTGGCCTTGTGTTGGAAAGGCGCCATACAAATAAAGTTGATTGAAGTTGATTGATAAAGGGATTAACTATATAATCTGCAATTTTGGCATTTACAATAGGGTTTTCTGGAAAAGATCAACTTTCATACTAAGAAAGACTGAATCCAAATACCAATTTTAACACCACAGTGATGATTTTTGATTGGATTTTAGCTTAATCTTACATTAATTAATTACAAAAAAAGATTATGATCGTTAATTATTAGATATTGATTTTCTTTTGTTTGTTTTTTTAATTTTATTCCATTTTAGTAATATCCATGAAAAGAAACACTTCTAAGGGCAAGGAAAGATTATTTGATGTGAATTTATTTATTGTTTTTGCAATGAACTTTTGAGCCTCTTTTTCGTATTTCCTTTGACCATTTTGAGCTTCCCCAACAAAGCCTTGTACGGTTCCACCCACGGCACAAACATACCCTGGCACACATCCACAATGTTTTCTACTAACCAGAATCTCAAGGGGCCGCTGGAGATGGAGGTGTGTGCATGTGTGTGTGTGTGCATTCGTGCTTGCGTGCGTGTGTGTGTGTGCGTGTGTGTAGAGGTGTTTGGGGTGCGCTCACTCTCCTGTTTTAGCCCATGATTAATGGTGTGCCTCCATGTAACGGCTTCTACACTAAAGTCAGGCTCTGACGAAAACATACTGTTAATGTGGAAGGAAAATAAAGGTATTTTTAAAGCTTTAAAGAAACAATCACAAAATACAATATATACAAGTGACTTTGAATAAAAGCTCAGGAATACAAAGATTGTGATTAATCTTTTGGGTTAAAAACATGTTTAACCTCAAACCTTTTAGGTTTTAGCTGCATGGTCAGTTATGGTTAGCTATGACCACTGACAAAAAGGTGCCTTGCCCTCTCTGGGTGGGCGGAGGGGTCCTTCCTTCCTCAAGTGGAGAAGTTTAAGTATCTCTGAGTCAATGACGTGCAGTCAGGGGAGGCAGAGCCTCATCTGCCATCATTGGAAACAAATAATCATTTTAGCTGTAACATATAATTGTCTTCCACTGTCCCATGCTTTTAATGTATATTCGGCACGGTTCCAACCAGTTTTGATCATTTATGAAGTCAAAATCGCCGAAATCCTGTTTTACCTATTCAAAGAGACAAGGTGAGGCAGCGCTCCTGCGTGCCTCATCCTAGATCGCTCGCTCCCTCACTGTGGACTGTGCGAGTTCACTCAGCTCGAGGTGGTTTATATATCGCTGTTTGTTTCAAATATCCTGCTTTGAAAACATTTGTTAAACTTGTCATAGTGACAATACAATATTAATGTATTGCACATACTTTATGTGTGTACAATTTATATTTATTTTAAGTGTTTTGATCGGAGAAGAAAACACAAGGAAAAAGTGTGGCGTGAGGCAGGCAGTGTCTGTGCCTCACCACTAGGGGTGATAGTGAGCATAAAGTTCATACCCGAGTTGCTAACAAAGAATCAGCCCAAAATTCTATTTCTTTTGCTGGAAAATGAATGATTTAATTGAAGATTTTTTTCTCAACTGCACCTTCAATTAAAGCAATAAATAATATACTGTAGAGAGAGAGACTGAGAGACTGGACTTACAAGAAAAACATTTTCAAAAACTCCTTTGTGCCCAGAGCAGTGATTGCTGCAAACACTCTATGCCCCATTTATTTTCTAATAAGTTTATAAAAATGCTTATTACTACATACAAGTTGTATTATAATCTGTAATTTCATTAAAAACTTGAGCTCATTGATTCAGCTTTGTATGATTTCAGGCCGTATAAAAGTGCTGAGTAGAGACTTAGCGGGACGTTCGCTCCCTTCCACTCACAGAAAGAGCAGCGAACAGCCTGCGTCCTCTAGCCTCTACAGCGCTGGTGGTAAACACAGAAGCATATTAGCAAAAATATCTGTAACTGCAGACACAGCATAACAGCCCACAAGACTCAACAGTGAGGAAGAGAAGAGGAAACTAAAGCGAAAAAATTATCAAAGAAGACATCAAGCCCGGGTGAACATACGTAGCGTTAGCTTACCGTTGGCTTACATGGTATCCTCTGGAGAGACCTGCGGTTTCGGGACCGCCTCGGACTATCTTTGCTCGGACATTTGTACGCAAAACTAGCGGTAATCTTTCAGTTTTCTATTTTGTTAGCAGTGCATTGCTTTTGTACTTTTTCATTAGTGATAGTTGTACAGCTTACAAGAAGTTGCGCTAATGCTAACTTTAGCGTAAGTATCAGATCGCAAATAAAACTAGATGTGGGATAAGAGCGTAGGGGAAATGAGAAGCATGCGAGCGATTTGGGGGCGGAGCTAAACATCCAAACTGAGAAAAACCTGAAGTATAGCGATCTAAATGACGTCACTAAGACACGCCCCCGCCGCCTGTCAACTCCCGCCCACATGTTTCGGACAAACACTGCCGAAATGAATCAAATACCACAAAATTCCACCATCAAACCATCAGGGATCATAGTGCAGACCAGGGGTCTCAAACTCAACTTACCTAGGGGCCACTGGAGGTAGAGTCTGGGTGAGGCTGGACCGCATCACAAAAAAATGCTGCATCACAAAAAAAGGTATTCCAGTATTCCAAAAAAATAACTGGATAACTGATCCAATCTTCTCAATTTTAACAAGTCCGAACATGCAGAACTTGCAGAACACAAACAGTTCTTCAGAACATAGGCTTCATTCACTTCCTTCTACTCCTTGCTTCCGGAGACTTGGCAGCGCTTCCTCTCACACAGCTGAGACACATTTGGCTTGAGGGAGGAGGCAACTGAGACCCTCAGTGTAGCTTTAAGGTTCTCATCTTTAAGTCTGGACCTGAACTTTGACTTGTTAAAGTTCATTGTGGAGAAGAGTTTTTCACACAGATAGGTGCTGCCAAAAAGGCACATGAACATCCTGGAAAGCTCAGGAAAGGTGGGGGGGAGTTTTCTCAAAAATTGTTCAAGCTCCACAGTGTTTCCACTCACCTCCCTGAATTTGGCTTTGAGTTCAGTATTACATTGCAGGTCAATTAGCTCCATCTGCAGGACAGGGGGGGCATCCTCCACATTAAAGGAGAAGGGGTCTGTAAACATTTGAAAAGTGGCTCTGTGTGTCTTGAAGTCTGCAAACCTGTGATCAAATTCTTCTTGTAGCTTTCCGATAGTATCAGCATACTTCTCACCACTGAATGTTGTGCCTGAATCCATGAGTTCCTTGCATGCTGGGAAATGGCAGAGGTTTGTCTGGGAAAGCTGGGCTTTCCATAACATAAGTTTTGTGGAAAATGTTCTGACACTCACAAGCTGGCCCTGGCCTTGTAACTTCTTGTTCAGTACATTCAGCTCCTGTGTGAAGTCAACAAGAAAAGCTAAGTCCATTAGCCATTTAGGATCACTTCGCACAGGGACAGCCATCCCATTCTTCTCCATGAAGGCTTTCACTTGTGCCCTCAACTCAAAAAACCTCTTTAAGACCTTCTCCCTGCTGAGCCAACGTACCTCGGTAAAGTAGAGCACGTCCTCATATTCTGACTCTATTTCAACCAAAAAGTCACGGAACTGCCGGTGCTTTAAAGCCCTGGATCTGATATGGTTGATGAATTTCACGACGTCAGACATCACATTGTCAAACTTTAAGATTTTGCTGCAAAGGGCCTGCTGATGGATAATGCAGTGCAGAGCAATGGCATCTTCCACCCCCTCCTCTTCCAGTTTTCTTCGAACATGTGCTACAAGTCCGTTTTTCCTCCCGTCATTGATGGAGCCCCATCTGTAGTTATTCCAGCCAAACACTTCCATTGTAAGCCGGCATCCCCAATGCAATCACACAGCTGGCGGAATCTCTCCTGACCGGTGGTCTGGCCATGCATTGCAATCACTGTGAGCAACTCCTCCGTAACTTAAAAATTGTTATCAACACCAGGGACATATATTGCAAGCTGCGCCGTGTCAGTGCTCTCATCAAGAGCGAGTGAGTAAGAATGGAAATGTTAGCTTTCTCACGTAGTTGATCATAAATGTTACCTGACATGTCAGAAATGCGCTCTGCCACTGTGTTGGCTGAAAAGCTGATGTTACTAAACTGAGCCTTTTTTTCCGGGCAGACTATACTGGCAGCCTGTAACATGCATTGTTTGATGAACTCACCGTCTTTAAACGGCTTTCCTGCTTTAGCGATCATCTCACTCACCACGTAGCTAGCTTTGAGAGCCGCTTCACTCTCTTTCTTGGCTTTCTTGAAAAAATCTTGTTGCCTCAGAAGACATATTTTAAGTTTGGCGACCCGGTCCTCTCGCTCATCTCCCAGGTACTTTGCATACTCCTCGGCGTGTTTTGTTGAGTAATGACGTTTAATGTTATACATTAAACTTTTTCCGAGCATATTAGACAAGTTGGGATGCCCCTGTGCTCAACAAAAAAATATTGCAGCTCCCACTTCTCCTGAAATTGTCTGTGCTCAACGCCAACTTTTCTCTTCACGACAGGTTTTGAAAAAGACATGGCTGGGGCTAAATAAAACCGTATTGACAAGATATTTTACTTCCAATCGTTCATCCAAACATTTTGCGTGATTTGCGCTGTTCTCGCGAGCCTGAGCTACGGGAGTCCACAGGTGTCAAAAAACAGAAACCCCCAGATGCGTGAGAGAAAAAAAATGCGCGGGCCGCACTAACACAAAGCTTTGCAACAAAATATTGACCCGCGGGCCGCAATTGGCCCCCGGGTCACATGTGTCTGAGACCCCTGGTGTAGACCAATTAAAACGTTGGCTTGAATGTCGTGGTCTGTAACTGGTAGAAAGTTTGAATTGATAAAAAGGTAATGGTGAGGATTATGCCATCATTATCCTGTCATTTAAATTCAATACTAACGCCTTCCTTGTTTATTTTGCTGTGATTACCTTTCATTTATCAAGTTTTTTTTTTGCACTGTCCACTTTGTAATTAGTTTGATCATCTAGTTAGCTACTGTCAGCCGATATTATAATAGATCCATGGGGTCACAACGGGCTACACCACTACTGTCTCTGCAGAGAAACTATCAGAGCTAACCACACTCAATAAACGCAAATGACAATCAATCGACACATTTAAATGTTAATGGGAGAATATATTATACGTACATTCGTAACACACGTGCACGAAGGTTTTCAGAATGATCTGTTAAGGTTTTCATGACAAAAATACTTTTTTAATGCCACTAAAGCGATCGCTTTTTTGAAGTAGGTTAGCTATCCTCACTGTTACTCGCCTGCCACGGGAAAACCTTTGGGAACTATTTTCTTTGCAGTCACTAATAAACCGTTTGGCATTAATAAAAGTGAATGAAGTTAATTTTGTGTGTCCAGTTGGTACAAAGCCGTATAATAAGCGGACCCCGACGCGCTTCGTCTGTACTTATTTTCCGATAGTCACGAAGTTGAAAAAAAGTCACAAAGTTGAAAAAAAGGTGTGTGAATTGTATACATTCTGGATTAGGACAAACAATACTAATATGGATTGATGGGGGTAAATGGTATAGAGAAAGTTTGTGCTAACTACATTCAGAAGAGCTCAGATGGACCTGATCCAGCGGTCCAGATCCAGTCCCAGCTAAACGTAGCTAGGACTGGATCTGGATGCTCCACAGTTGGTCCAGCTTCACAGACAAAGTGTTTTGAACAAATATGAGTCCTTTTTAACATTTTCATGAGAGAAATTCTGCCGACCAAAAGCGCAAACCCACCTCTTGCACTTGTCCTGGTCTGGTCCGATGGTGCGGTTTAACGAACAGGTTGAATGTTTCATATAGTCCTTTTCAGAGTATCTGAAATTGCTCCCACAAGGAGTGTTTTGTTGTCACCATGATTCAATGATTTAGCCCAAATAAATAAACACACGTATGTGGAGAACACAGTAGTACTCAACGGAGTCGTACACAATGTTTGTCCGAAACATCGGAACTATTTTTAGCACATTTTGGAAACCGGACAGTGCCCTATAGCTCCTTTAAGCTTTGAGAAGTTCTGCGGTTGACTCTTGTCTTTAGGCCGGATGAGGCCTTGTTGGCGATTCTGTTGCCAGTTAGTTCTTCCAATTGTACTGTGAATGTAGTGCCACATGATATTTTGCAGGATGTGTGTCCTTGATGTATTTCAAGGTGACAACTAAAGACAATTTTTCACCTTAGTGGACAATAAAGTTTTCGCATTCGTTAGTCCGGCCGCGTGGGAGGAAATTGTCAATCTGTGTTTTATGTTTAAAATTGACAAGATAGCTGCATAATAGTGCTTCTCCGAAAAACACTGATTCAAACACTGCTCAAGAGTTCTGCAATTTGTTTAAATTATTGTTTATGTTCCTCGCGTCTCTCTCTCTCCTCGCCTCTCTTTCTCTGTCTCCCCGCGTATCTGTCGCTCTCTCTCTCTGCTCGCGTGTCTGTCTCTCTCTCTCCTCGCGTCTCTCTCTCTCTCTCCGCGTATCTGTCTATCTCTCTCTCTCTCCGCGTATCTGTCTATCTCTCTCTCTCCGCGTATCTGTCTCTCTCTCTCTCTGCTCAGGTATCTGTCTCTCTCTCTCTTCGCGTCTCTCTCTCGCACTCTCTCTGCTCGCGGCTCTCTCGCTCTCTCTCTGCTCACGGCTCTCTCTCCTTGCGTCTCTCGCACCTGTGCTTCTTAAAGATGTTGTTTGATGCGGAGCAGAAAGTCAGCATCTAGATTTGTTGTGAGATTATTAAAAGAAGCTGGTTCTCTTATCTTTACAGTATATGCCAAAGACGGAACACATTTAAACTCAAACATGAGACTGGACCTGATTTCTCATAAGGGAAATGGACGACATTAGCTCAGTTGGTAGAGCATTGGCCTTTGAGCCAGTGGGTTCGAGCCCGACCTTCACCATCGAACCACAGTTCGCTGTCGTTGTGTCCTTGGCAAGACACTTAACCTCTGGGAACACCAGCCGCAGTGGGGCGGCTGTGGCTGTAAAGTGCCAAACTGCCGTTGTGTCCTTAGGCAAGAAACTTCACCCCCATTGCCTAGAATGAGTCTGGTGTGTGTGTGTGAATGGTTGGTGGTAGTCGGAAAATTTTAATATCACCTTCATCGCTTGTCACATTAAAGATGAAATATTATAAATGTCATTACACAGAGTTACAATTATAAATCATTGAAGCACTTTTGAAATTGTTTAGATAGACATACGCTGGCTGTCATGTTGTGGATTATTTGTTAGCTAGTTTTATTTTAGCATTTTAGTTTTACTTCCTGTCTTGTTCGATTTTCTTGTCTGCCCCACCCTTATGTGTTTCACCCGTGTCTCTCTGTGTCCATATGTACCCTGTGTTCATACCCACATGGTTCTGGTCTTTGTCTGTCTATGTTCCGGGCTCCATTTGGATTTTGTAGTTAGTTTTTTTTTTTTTTTACCTTGGCTTTTTATTGTAATATGTTAATTAAATCCTCAGTTTTTTACTTTCCTGCATTTTGGGTCCTTCCTCGTCTCACCACATGACACAGGCAATTAAAATCCAACTTGAAAAGAGAAAGTACAGCTGTTCCCGTGCAATACATTGTGTTCTGTCGATACCATTTTTGCATAACTGTTCCTTTGATACGCTCTATTTGCTGTAAGCGAACACAACCAGTTCCTTGTCATTTTCCTTTTTTTTTCTTCTTTTTTTTAACCAGGCTCTGATCTCTCCCATCTGTCGGATTCATCAAAGTGCAATTTGTGAGCAATCAATGTAATTCTTCCTTTTGAGAGCGACACAGAATGAGATCAATAGAAGGTCAATGGTCATTGGTTGCTCTCGGGCGCCAGGTCAGAGAGTTCGGTCCTTCCTTCAGATGAATTAATCTGCTTAGCCTTCAAATTGTATCAAGAGTTAATTGGTCTCATGTCCTTTTCTTTTTACACCATCAGGAAGCAGACAGACTCCAGATATTTGCAAATGTAACCAGTTGTAACCAGGGGCTGAAAACATGGATTGGAAAACTGTTCTGACTGGGCTTTAAAAAGGGGCATACTGCATCCATATTGATTCAGACCACAACCCCCTATGCCCCATACATATAATGTTAAGACACGACCAAAACCAAATGTGAATTTATACACATGGAGTGAACGACTGGTTCCAAAGAATAGCATGACCGGAGCAGAAGTTGGTTGGATGGACATTACCATCACGGGCTGCTTTGTATTAGCAAGGCACAAGGCCACATAATAACACACTTTCGATGATCACAGTAGTTCAGCCGAGATATTCAAAATTAGTTTAACGGCCCCTAAATCTTGTTATTGCTTTCATTTGGATGTCCCGCCCTCCACCCTTTTTACCACTCGGAAAGTCAGTGATCCAGGTTGCCAGAACTCACAGCATGGAGCTAATCTCACTGGTAAAGTAAGATGTGGCTGCAGTACCAAAAGGTTAGCCTGGTCGTACCACACCATAGTACAAATTACATTCCGTACTAAGGTCTGCAGGTGCTCCATTGAGTTCTGTTAACAGGTGGGAGATTGAAACGATTGGATCTGAGTTTACCGTCACGTCTGTAATGCGCCCGAGCGAGTCGTTAGCATTTAGCCTAGCCATCCCCTTTGCCGCTAACAGAGCCTGTGGGGAGTAGCGCCACAATCTTTGCCAGCAATGACTTTTGCTAAACATTCCTCCTGCTCCGGCTTCAATTTCTTGACACCACCCACATCTAACTACAACAACTATTTTATTAGTTGCGATCAATGGATTAACTTGTGTTATACATTTTGGTACAAGAAACAATTGTTGGATAATGGTTTTGGTGCTTTAGACCCAGGCAGAAA